TTCTGGGATTGAGCCCCTCATGCCCTCGTCAGGCTCCCTGCTCATCAGGGAGCCTGCTTCTCCCTCTCCCTCTGCCCCTCCCCCTGCTTGAGCATGCACATGCTTTCTCTCTCTCTGTCTCTCTCTCTCAAATAAATAAATAAAATCTTTTTTTAAAAAGTTCTTCCAGGTCAAACCTGGTGGAATGTGCACAGGTATTAACATTTTTTTTCTCTTTTCAAATAACATTAAAGTACTTCTTAAAAAAATATGGCAAAGCTCTACAAGGATAAAGACCTCAAGCTTGAATAAGCCTCAAATTCTCAAAGCTGGAAAACAGGTCCAAGAATGGTAAGGTGATGAAGTAGGCCAATGATGCCCAAATATAAGCCTGGTAGAGTAGAAGTCATGCTGAATCACTCCAGGGAGTACCGACCAAGGCTCAGGAATTGGTAGTGACATTGAACTCTAAAAGCCAAATCCACAGAGGGCTGACTGTTACCATGTGAAGCAGCAGCATGACTGCCCTGGGAGAAGTATGGAGATTACTCTCAACAAAGGATGGACCAGAGGACTGTAGGACAGCAGGCATTTCTGAGCACACGGTCCTATAGGTGGGACTCAGTGGAAGGCTACAAACTAAAGCGTGAGACCCAGATCCCTTATCCGCTGCTCCACAATCAGAATGCTACAACCAGACAAGTATCCCCTGGGCAGGAAGGGTTCTCTCAGGGGAAGCTGATCAGTCCCAGAGGAATGTCTCACAGATACTAACCCGGAGGGAGTCTCAATGACATGGCCCAGTACACCGAGATTCCAATTAGCTTCTATTCCTTTTGCTTATTTAAAACAGGAAGGGCAAACCAAAAATTAATAGATATTTGTGAGAAGGCCTCTAATGTGAAACAGACATAAACAAAGAAGCGGAGGGAGAAAAAAAAATCATCTGAGGGCAACAGGGTGATGTAGGAAGAAAAAAACTTCAAAAATATAAGACCCTCAGAGAGAAAAATTCTATACATTCTGAACTAGTATGCTGTAAAAAAGAATGTTTAGAGACAAAAAGGTTTTGAAAATTAACAATTTGATACAGACAAAACAAATGAAATTTAAAAAATGATAAAAAGTAAGGAACTCCTCCATAAAGTACAATAAGAAAAAGAAATAAAAAATAAGAGAAAAGGGATTAGAAAAATTGAGACTCAGTAAGCTTAGGATGTCCAATGTCTCAGCAAAATTCTGGGAAGAAAGGAGGAAAACTTTCAAAAGACTCTTCCTTACATAAAATTGAAATTTATCTCTTCAGTGACTTTCATTTGGACATATCATTTTAATCCATAGGAAACAGATTATTCCTTCTTTCCATCCAATTCTTTGAAGCAATTTAGTATCTTTAAGACATAGAGAAAAAGCCACTGCTGTGTAGACAGTTCAATGATAATACCCTGAGGGAAGATAAGGGTCATGGGCTAAATACAGAACCGAGTCCCTGTTAACTCACGCATCCATCCCTCTGGCTATCAAGTTTTAGAACTTGCTTGTTTCTCTGATGATCATTGTGATTATCAGCCCAAACTTCCCAGTCCTGGCTCTACTTCTTGATTTAGATACTGTTTCTCATGGACTATATCCGATCTGCAAGCTAGGTCCAAGGGACGACACACTTCTCTTCCTCTAGTGATCCATTATTATCCCTTGGTTTGGGTTTCCTCATCACCCAAGAAGGACAAGCTCCTGTTCCACTTATGTCTGCCACGTAATGTGTGGTGTCTGGGGAATCGCAAGGATCCAGGCATGGGAGCGACGCAGCGCATGGTGGGAATACCACTCCTAGCACAGGTCCGGATACCATCCAAAGCCGTTTCACCAAGGTCACTGTGGTTCTTTTGGCAGCTGCATCGCACAGCCTTACATTCGGCGTCACTAAATTCCTTAAAGCTGTTTGACAGGGGCTCCTGTTTGGTTACATCTCCAACAACCCCAAAGTTATGTTTTCTGGAACAAAATGAAGGATTGGCATTTTCTTCTTGTTCAATTTCTTCTTCTTAGATGCGCAATATTCCAGCTGTCGGCAATTATCCCAAGCTTGGTTTCAAATGCTAGTAGCATTTGATTTCAAATGCTAGTAGCTGAAAGCTTACAGTCTCACAGGAAAACACATTCTTGTCGTCAGTGGTTCCAACATTAAAAAATTATTCTTCATCTTGAGTTAATATCTGCCCCCTTTAAAGTATCTTTTAGTTGTTGTTCTGCACTTTAGAGATAGTAAGAATAAGTCAAATTTTTCATCCATTTGATAGCTCTACCATATTTGGAGATGGGCATTACATTTGTTTTGTCTTTGTTTGTTTTGCCTCCCCTAGGAAAGAATGCCAAGTTCTTCAGCCGATGCTTATAAAATGTGGTTTTCAGACCCTTCTCTAACTTGGATACTATCCTCTGGGTTTGCTCTAATTTTTTTTTTAAGATTTTATTTATTCATTTGACAGAGAGAGATCACAAGTAGGCAGAGAGGCAGGCAGAGAGAGAGGAGGAAGCAGACTCCCTGCTGAGCAGAGAGCCCGATGCGGGGCTCGATCCCAGGACCCTGAGATCATGGCCTGAGCCGAAGGCAGAGGCTTACCCTACTGAGCCACCCAGGCACCCTGCTCTGATTTTTAATGTATTCTTAAAACATGGCTCTTAGAACTATCAAAACAGCTAAGCAAAATTTCCAACTGAACTCAGTCTGAGTCTCACCTTTACCAGGGATGTGACCTGGACTAGTTATGTAACCTCTCTTCACCTCACTTTCTCATTTGTAAAATAAGATAAGGGTTGATGCCTACATCATAGGGTTGTTGTAAGTACTAGAAAACCTAATGGGTACTTTAAATATTTAGTACACTGCCTAGCATAAAGGAGGCCTCCCTCAAAATGTTAAATGTTAATTCCTAATCATGAGGCATCACAATTTGTGTCAGCTGTCTTTGGAGTTCTGTTTGATCACTGCAATGTAGACTAGTACTTGGCATATTAATTGGGTAAGTACTCAGAGATGGTGTTATTCCTGATGTGAACTGTAGTTCATCTTGTACTTAAAGTACATACGAAAGACACTTAGAGGTTGATTCTGGTAGTTGCTCTAGAGTAATGGGACTGTGTAGTGGCACTTTGTTTTTTTCTCTCTTCCCAAAATAATTATATTTCCCAAAGTAAAGCACTGGTTGGAAAATTGTGATCAATACATATAATGAAATATAATGTAGTCATTAAAAAGTAATGTTTCACTGATTTGGAAAGATTTCAAAAAGATGTTATCAGAAAAAAAATGGTTTACAAATACTTCAGGATGCTGTTTTTAAATATATATGAGAAATCAATTAAAATATTCAAATGGTTGTAATTATGTGGTAGAATTATTTTTATTTATCTTCAAGTTAGAATTTTTCTATAAAAACATATATTACCCTCTGACAAAAATGTGGTAAGTTCAGACAAGAAAACAAAGTAGGGTCTATAGACAAAATGTTATTACATCTGCAGTGAGGCTGCCCTGTATTGTACAAATTGCTTGCTGTCTTACTATATACTTCACATGGTCCCTCATCAAAATAACAATTTGGCTAAATTCCTTACCGTAGCTCAATATATAAATCAAACTCTCCATTTTCTCATCTTTTTTTTAAATTGACATATAATGTATTATTTGCCCCAGGGTACAGGTCTGTGAATCATCAGTCTTATACAATTCACAGCATTCATCATAGCACAAACGTTCCCAATGTCCATAAACTAACCACCCCCTCCCTGATCCCCCCAACCCCCCAGCAACCCTCAAAACCCTGTTTTGTGAGATTAAGTGTTTCTTATGGTTTGTCTCCCTCCCAACCCCATCTTGTTTCATTTTTTCCTTCCCAATCCCCCATGACCCCTTGCCCTGCCTCTCAAATTCCTCATATCAGAGAGATCATATGATAATTGTCTTTTTCTGATTGACTTATTTCACTCAGCGTAATACCCTCTACTTCCATCCATGTCATTGCAAATGGCAAGGTTTCATGTTTTGATGGCTGCATAGTATTCTATTGTATATTTGCACCACATCTTCTTTATCCATTCATCTGTTGATGGACATCTAGGTTCTTTCCATAGTTTGGCTATTGTGTCCATTTCTTCATCTTTAAAAAATTTATTTATTTATTTATTTTTAAATTTTTTAACTTTTAATTTATTTTTTAAGTTTTTTATTATTAAGATTATTTATTTATTTGAGAGAGAGAGAGAGAGAGCACAAGTAGAGGGGAGGAGCAGAGAGTGAGGGAGAAGCAGGCTCCCTGTTGAGCAGGGCTCAATCCCAGGACCCTGGGATCATGACCTGAGCTGAAGGCAGACGCTTAGCCCACTGAGCAACTCAGGCACCCCAGCCTATGGTTTTAAAGAACAATTAATGTTATAGTTGATTGAGACCACAAAAATTAATGAAGCTTTAAAAAAAGCTTTATTTAAAAAGTAAGTAGTGAGTATATGTAAGTCTATGAGGTAATACACAGTACAATATGAAGTATCATTAACACTTTTATTTTTTTATTTTTTATTTTTTATTTTTATTTTTTTTTAAAGATTTTATTTATTCATTTGACAGAGAGAGATCACAAGTAGACAGAGAGGCAGGCAGAGAGAGAGAGGGAAGCAGGCTCCCTGCTGAGCAGAGAGCCCGATGCGGGACTTGATCCCAGGACCCCGAGATCATGACCTGAGCCGAAGGCAGTGGCTTAACCCACTGAGCCACCCAGGTGCCCCAACAAACACTTTTAGACCTGGTGCTGCCATGAACTCTGTACAAGGTTTTCTAACAACCCTTCTTCTAAAAGACCTATAAAGATTCCACTAGAGGGTGTCTATTGTCCCTTTTAGAACAAATATTCAGGAATACCATAACTTTAAAATCATGTTTTGTTTCCATAATTATCAGTAAAAATGGGAAATAGTATTACTTGATTTTGTTATGGAAGTTGATTTTTTGCTTATTTTATTTTAAGCTCTTCCATTTGGTAAAATCCCCATTTTGGAAGTCGATGGATTTAACCTTCACCAGAGTCTAGCCATAGCACGATACTTGGCCAAAAACACAGGTAATATGTTTATTGTGTTGAAGAGTTTTGATAACTGAGAAGAATACGTAACTTATATTCACTATTTATTAAAAACTTTATTATTGAACAATATAGTATAAAGAATGAAACAAAAGATACGAAAGAAACAAACCTAATCAACTGAGGCTAGCTAAATGGATAGTGGCGCTTCTTCTTACAGGAATCCCATGTAGCTGAAAAAAGAGCAGAGATGCCCTTAACAAACTTGTAGGGAAAGATCTGTAGGATATATGGGGGATGTGTATATGGATTGGGAAATATAGCTTTATTTTCATAAAGAAATAATGGAAGACTACAAAAAAACTCGAATAGAGTGGTTACCAACATGGTAGGTAGATTAAGGAGCCCAATGAGATTGGTTGGGCAGGGGTGGAAATTGGTCTTCACTGGATACAGTTTTATATTGTTCTGAATTTTTGAACCATAAGAATATATTGTCTTAAGAAGTAAACATTTTAATATAGTAAATTAAATCCAGTGTATGTCTGGGCATAAAATGGTCTCTCTTTTATAGATTTGGCTGGAAAAACAGAATTGGAACAATGTCAAGTTGACGCAATTGTGGACACATTGGATGATTTCATGTCACGTTTTCCTTGGGCAGAGAAAAAACAAGATATAAAAGTAATGTGATCAGTATATTATTACTACTATTAATCATATCTACTTGTGGGGTGCTTTAAAGTTTCTTTTTATTGGGCGTCTGGGTGGCTCAGTCAGTTGAGCATCGGCCTTCAGCCCAGGGATCCAGCCCTGTGTTGGGCTCCCTGTTCACTGGGGAGTCTGCTTCTCCCTCTTTCTCTGTCCCTCCTCCCATTTGTGTTTGCTTGCTCTCTCCAATTAAAAAAAAAATCTTTTATAGAAAAGGTTTCTTTTTACCAAAGTAAGACATACCTATAGTTTTAAAATATCAAATTATATTTAAAAATTTAGAACAAAATAAGGTGATTCCCTGCTCTACCTCTTCACATTAACCCCTCCTCAGACACTTTTTAATACTTTTTTATTAACACTTTTAACTATTTCTTTAGGACATGTAAATCTGGTTTTCTTTGATTCACTAATTTTAGTTTCTCTGGACTTATTATTATAGTAATAAGAATTTTTCTTTTATGTAGTCATTGTCTCTGCTCCCCTTCTCCCAAATTCTTAATATAATGATATTAAAATGTTTTGGCCAAATTGATATAATGTTACATTAGTATGCTAGGCAAATATCATACAGAACTGTCAGTTATAGTATACTTTGATTTCATTTCCTTTCTCACTCTATCTCCTCAAAATTAGTAATTGCCTTTCCTTCATTTGCTTGTTTTTACATTTATTGCTGAACCCTCCCACACCATCCAGTAGACCGCCAATATAGCTTTCCACAAGGTCAATGGTATCTGATTACCCATTACGTCCACCATTTTCTTGGAGAGATCTGGCCAAGATCTCCTCTTTTTTGCAGAGCTGTCTGGGTTTTCTGCCCATCTGTCACCACTGGACTTGCCTTCACTGCCATCCCAGGGATGTCCTTCTCTTGAGTTGGAGTCCTATTTCCTGGAAGCCATCCTCTGTCCTTGCTTACTTCTTTGTCCTCCAGGAATCCCACAGTTAAAATGAAAGCTTGATGACAAGAGGTGTAATGATGACGGACAGCACTGATGTGTCTGTCTTGAGTGTACACTGCTTCAGTCTGGTTTGGTCACCCTAAAAACCTGGTGCACCGTTGTCATCCTGTAGTCTTTATTTCCATATTTTTCTTTTTCTTTTTTTAAAAAAGATTTTTTTTATTTATTTGACAGAGAAGGACATAGTTAGAGAAGGAACACAAGCAGGGGGAGTGGGAGAGGGAGAAGCCAGCCTGCCGCCCAGCAGGAAGCCTGATGTGGAGCTTGATCCCAGGACCCTGGGATCACAACCTGAGTTGAAGGCAGCCACCCAATGACTGAGCCACCCAGGTGCCCCTCATATTTTTCCTCTTTGGTTTGGTCTCCGTCTTTCCCCAAGAGTAAAACCATCCTTTAGAATCCATGATAAAGAATAGGAAAATTAAGAAGCTTACCCAAAGTTCTCCGCAGATGGACAGGGTATGTTGATTTTGAGCAGTGCTAGGCCATTTGTGGAGTGTTTTCCCATATCACTATCTTTACTAAACTCTTTACTAGAAAGAGTATCTAGAGAAGACTTCTGACCTTTTGCCTGGAAAGAAAGGTGTGTCTGCCAGTGTTCTGGGAAACGATCAGCAAAGAGAGGGCTACAAGTCTCAGAACTTAGTGCTCAGTATGCATATATTCATTTAATCCCCTATTTTGAAAACATTATGAATGTCAGCTCCCAACACACAGACACTAATTTCCCCCTCTCCAGCCTTCTGCTACAGATGGGGAAGGGGCATGTGTCAAGCAGTGTAAAATGAAGAGAGAATTCTTATGCTAAAACTACCTCTTCCACAGCCTTCCGCCAGTCCTCACGTTATCCTCTCCCTTACCTCCTTACTCCCAATTCTAGATACATCCTGCCTTTTCCTGAAACATTTGAGGGTTTTATGGGGAAGACGGTGTTGGTTTTCAGCTTTCCCTTTGCAGATACCAGTCATCCATTTGCTTTATAACTTTGAATTTTGTTTTCTCTTCTCTCCTCTCCTGTTTTCCACCTCTTTGTGGGTTCTGTCTTTTCAAAAATATGTATTTACTGTGGTTTGGGGATGAAAAAATCACATATGTGTGCCAAATCCATTATCTTTATCCAGAATTCTAAATAGACCTTGTAGGTTATGCTCCATTACCACCCCCTAGTGGTGTCCTGGGGGCATGCATCACAACCTGTATTTTATTTTATTTTTATTTTTTATTTATTTTATTTTTTTATTTTTTTTAAAGATTTTATTTATTTGACAGAGAGAGATCACAAGTGGGCAGAGAGGCAGGCAGAGAGAGAGAGAGAGAGAGAGAGAGAGAGAGAGGAGGAAGCAGGCTCCCTGCAGAGCAGAGAGCCCCATGTGGGACTCGATCCCAAGACCCTGAGATCACGACCCGAGCCGAAGGCAGAGGCCTAAGCACTGAGCCACCCAGGTGCCCCACAACCTGTATTTTAAAATACATTTACTTCTCCTCCAGGAGAACGTGTCGTGAGGGTAGTAATTATGTCTGTACTGCTCACTCATGTCCCCACACCCACCCCTGTGCCGTTCACACCGCAGACACTACATACTTGTTGAACGACAGGCAGCAAGAGCTGATTTCTCCAACAGCACGTACAGATGCTGCTCCGGCCCCTTTACACCCGTGGCCTCAGCCAGTCCTCCCAATCCCTTCACTAGATACGCGCTTTCTATCATCATGCTTACTTTGCAGATGAAGAAACTGAGACTCAGAGTGGTTATGGAGTTGCCCAGACCCATGGCCTCATCACCTCTGCATACTTCCTTTTAAATTAGTGACTAATAACCAGAGCATCCCTTAGGGAGAAACTATTATCTTCTTTTTCCCAGGTGGGGAAATTGAGGTTCATATAGTAGAAGAAACCTGTCGAAGGTTATTCAGCTAGGAAGTGGTACACAAGGAATCTGAATCCCAGCCACTCTGACTCAGTCTCCATGCTCTCAACCACCGGTTGTAAGGTCACAGTGCCAATAGCTGGTGAATACCTATGTCTGTGGTGTAGTTTAAGGCCAACAGTCGGAAAGTTACAGCACAGAACGAATGGCAGTCTTATCAATTTGCTAAAATATATTTATGCTAAATACTACTCGTTTCATTAGGAACTTCTGATTTTAATAGAGATACTTGGAAAAGTATTCACATTTACTGAATGTAAGGTGTGTCGCGCGCGCGCACACACACACCCCCACACACCCACAAATATATGACTAACCAGAGCGAAGTCTAAGATAAAAGCTCAGCTTTGATATGGCAATATATTCGGGCTCTGGAGTCACACTACCAAGCTTGAATTCTGATTCCCTTCTTCCTAGTTGTCACATAACTACCCACCAATAGTTCAGATTCTTTGTCTGTAAAGTAGAGATACCATAGAATCTACTTGGAAGTAAATTGGGAGGATTAAATGTTGGCATGAGTACCTATGACTAGGTTGAAAGTGTTCAACAAATATTAGATATTATAATTATGTTATCTAATATGTTAATAATTATTCATATATGTAATTAATAGTGTTATTATATAGTTCACTGCTCATTGTTTTTCCTTTTGTCAGACATGGTATTTGTATTTTACACATCCTTATAAATGCAGAAACAAGTAGAGACATAATGTCCAATTTAGAAAAACGGATCTAAAGCTTTTTGTTTCACATGCTAAAGACCCCACTGATTGGCAGTCTATCAACTTACGGGTTTGCGTTTTGCTATTTTGTACCCTTCTGTGGGTGAGCGTCCTATAACAGAGGCTACCTCCCAGAGGAAAATACTCTTTGAATGCTTATGATACCAGTAACACTCTACTTTTGTATTAGAGTAACACTGCTCTTACATGCCCATCTCGGAAAAAAAAAAAAAAAATCATCACAGGACATAATCCAAGCTTATAAATAAATCATATGAAGGGAGAACACGTTGCAGAAATAGTGCAGTTGGCTATATACTATCTGATTAATAAGGAGGACCTGGCTAGTATACAACAGAAAACCTCCATAGTTTTAGTACATTTCTTCACCCAGCCTCCCTGTAGTGGGTCGCGTTGCTGCCACCTTGTGGTCAGATCAAATTTTTAACAGCAGGATATGGGTAACAGTGAAGATGGATGGTGAACATAGTCCTCTTACTATACATGCCCTAAAAATCTATCAAATACACATAATTATAAATATTTCAGTATCGGTTGCTAGAAATTCCATTTCCAATTTAAAAAAATTAAAATTAATTTAGAAGGCAAAATATGTTTGTGGACACTGGTCACCCTGATAATCCTTGAATTTATCACTAGTGTTTCTCTGGTTATTCATCCTCTCTGTTTCAGTTTCCCCATCTAAAGACTGGGGCAGGGAGGATGATGGATGAGCAGGATCAAAGAAACGCCAGTGACACATTTTCAATACTAAACGATTTTGATAGTATGAATTTTAAAATGGTGCTTTGGAGAAACATAATTTCTCTGAAAGTCATTTGATAGGATACAGTAGCAATGACTTCTCAGGTTGAAAAACCTCCTGACTTACAGCTCTCCGGAGGAAGTGGGAGGAAATTTCTGAGTCTACCGAGTTTAAGAGTGGCTAGCTAAGATTTATCAAGAAATGCAGTTTTTAAAAGTACATATCTGGATAAAAGGATGTATAACCAAATTTCATCTTCTTTATGTTATTTTGGTGAGTACTCTTTACAATGACTCTTAAATACTAATAATTACATTGGTTAGTAATTTATATATCATTAGATGAGATGAATCACTGGGATGATTCACCAAACATATAGAGAACCTGGGCTACAGAAGTCAATATAGAGAAAAGATTTTTATTTGGCATTGGGTATGCACAAGCATCTGTGTACGTGTACCTTAAGTGGTGGAAATGTACATTAGAAGAAGTAATAAAATATACAGGTAAGCACACAAATGTTTTGGGAATCTGTCCAGCAGCTACAGCCTGTTCCATTCAACTCCATTCCATTTCTAGCTTGTCTAGGAGAGCCAAACTGGCCTTCACCTTCCCACCTGAGGCCAAGCTGAGCTGGGCTATGGGAAGTACCACATGGATCCGGGCCCACTGCCTCTTTGCTCACAAATTATGTGTAAGAACTCACACTGTTTTGTTTTAAACTATGAACATATTAAACATAGAAAAAGAACCTTATGAATGTAGGTGGTATAGAACAGTGGAAGGAATATAAATCAAAATAATGACAAGCTTCCCAAGTCTCAGTGTGTAAAATCAGGCAAATGTATGTAAATATGTAATGATGTTTTTTTGTAAACTCTGTTCTATAAACCAGGCATTATGTGGCAGTAATCTCTATTACCTAGCTAGGTTATAGTAATAACAGAAATATAGAAATAACAGAAATAATCAGCACATTGGTGAGGGAACTACCCGCTACCCGAATTGCCTTAATAAAGGCTGGATTTTATTATAGGTCATTTCTCATTATTAATAAATAATATATATACACATATTTTATGATATTTTTGAGTTTGGCTTACATTTCATATCCAAGACACACACCAGCCGGAATTTTCATATATAAACAACAGTTCTTACAAAGAAAGAGGTCATGAATAAATTGTCTTCCAGAGATTTGAGGAAAAACACAATTTAAAAAAATGGATATATCTGTTAATTTTTCCCTTCTAAGGATATTTGGTTTATGTTACCTTACATAATATATCAAAAGAGGGCACCTAGTTGATGGTTTTTGTAGATGATACTCAAGGCAGACAAACCTCATATTAAGGCACAATGTCAAGCCAACAAGAAAAGATCCATAAAGCCTGAGAGCATAAGGAGTCATTACATAGATGATTTCTGTTAAGTGCGATGGTGCGGTAAAAGACCGCCAAACTGAAGAAGCCTACCCTTACAAAGTAAAATTAATTTCTTTACCCTCAGTTATATTATTTCCATTCAAAGAGAGTGAGGATAATTTTGGAAATGTAAAAACATAATGGAATCATTTTTTCTTAATAAACATTAAGATGGAAATCATGAAAAGACTTTGTGGGTGAAATATTTGGCCATTATATACAAAGAAACTGTAAGCAGGGGTCACAAAAGTATTTTTTAATCCATGAGCAACACACAGTTGACTAAGTATAAAGAATCAGACCTCATTCTCCATAATAGCATACATTTGGAAAAAAAAAAAAAAACAACCAACAACCAAGAACACATAGCTACTTCTCTTTCTTTCTGAATTCATGTAGGAGAATAAAGATGGAAAAATCTGCCTTTTCTTTTTTTTTAGTGAGAATTCTATTTTTTAAAAAAATTTTATTTATTTGTCAGACAGAGAGAGAGCACAAGCAGGGGCAACAGCAGGTACAGGGAGAAGCAGGCTCCTGGTTTAGCAGGGAGCCGGATCGTGGGGCTCAATCCCAGGACCTTGAGATCATGAACTGAGCAGAAGGCAGACGCTTAGCCGACTGAGTCACCTTTTCAAATCGTGTTATTTTTTCCCCCTAGTATCCTTAAAGTGATCTTTCTTCTTCCTCTCCTAGAATCAGATGTTTAACGAGCTACTTACATATGATGGACCTCATCTGCTGCAAGACTTGGATGCATACTTAGGGGAAAAGGAGTGGCTTGTTGGTAACTCTGTGAGTATGTTTTACAATCTTAAAAAAATACAAGTATAGACACATACACGTACATATAACCAAAAACTTACAAAGACTCATGGAGGAAAAAAAAGTTACCCATAAGGAAGGATTAGATAGCAGGGATAAAACCTAAACCTCTTTGAATAAACCTATTTTGGTGGACTTAATTTTGGAACTATGAACTAAAATAGTTTATATAATTACATAAAAGCAACAACAAAAGTATTTTGAAAAGCCAACACTGCAAAGTGAAGCAAATGAACCTATGTTAAAATTGATGCACGAAGTGTGTAGAGAAGTACCTATTACTCAATTAGTGAGGGGAACCGTTTCAAGAAAATCATCTTAAAACAGTCATTTGACTATACATCTTATAAATATTCTCTCAGAACCAAAAAAATAGAAAACTTATACCATTTTTAGTAGAGGCATACATCGGAGAGAGATTATGGGTTCTGTTTCAGACCACAGCAATAAAGTATCACATGAAATGGATTTTTTGGTTTTTCAGTATATATAAAAGTTTTGTTTACATGACACTGTGATCTGTTAAGTGTGCAATGGCATTATGTCTAAAAAAACAATGTACATATCTTAATTTAAAAATAGTTTATTGCTAAAAAACGTTAACCATCATCTGAGCTTTCAGAGTTGTAATCACTGATTACAGATTACCATAATGAAAGTTTGAAATATTGCAAGAATTGCAAAAATGTGACACAGAGACGCAAAGTGAGCAAATGCTGTTGGAAAAATAGAGCCGACAGATTTGCTCAACACAGGGTGCCACAAGCATTTGTAAAAGATGCAGCATCTGCGACGTGCAATAAAGCAAAGTGGAATAAACCGAGTATTCTGGTAATTCTATTCTCGGTGGTTCTGGGTACAGTCATATTGCTTTATTAGTATTTCTGATATTAGTATCATGGGGTAAATCAGTAAGAAAATATGTAGATGTCACTGCGAAGCAGGATCTTCAGAATGAGAGAAAGAAGATAGAGATGTAAGGTCAGTGAGGTTAAGTAAATATCCTATTCCTGAACATGAACTATCTTTCTCTCTCTCTCTCTCTCTCTCTCTCTCTCTCTCTATATATATATATATATATATATATATATATATATAAAATAAAGGTCATGATGTACTGACTGTATCTTAAGATAAAGAAAAAGGCACCTTGTATCTCTTTTTCTTGAAACAATGACCAACCCTGTTGTCCTGGGCACCCCTAGGACTCAGAATCTGGCCTCTAAATATGAAAAGGAACCAGGGCTTCTTGGAGAAATGTCTTGTTCTCAATTTGGGACAGGAAATCTAGGAGATGAGCTGGAAGTACCTTATATCAAAGCAAATAAATTATCAAAGACAACTGAACTGGGGACTCAGAAGTCAACTTGAAGAGGCTTCCACTGGTTAAATATGGGACAATTCAAGCTTTGCTAAGAATATTAACAGCAGTGGGTTGAAACAAATCAAAATGAATGAATCCATGAGTTTATGGTGTCCCCTCCTATCACCACAACCAAACACAAACACATACATGCAAAACCCCAAATGAAACAGAACTTCATTGCTTACTTTTGGAAGATGACATGGAGCAACTTATTACTCTGAAAACTGTTTTTTTGAAAGTTGCGAGGTTGGAAAGAAGAATTTATGTTGCCTTTCTGATTCATGCTCATTGTATCTCAAGATACAAACTGAAGGGCAAAGTTCCTCTTCATATAAGTATTCCAGTTAGAAAGTAAAAAGGGGACATTTAAATCAACTATCACCATTTTCCAGCCCCTGATGGTTGGAACAGACTGAGGTATTGATTAATTATTGTTAATATCACAAAAAACAAGACAACCAGCTATTACAGCCCTGGTGCCAAGAGAGAGGAGCACACTTCCACCCATGGAGTCCTGACAAATACTCACATCTAAACATGACTCAGATGCTGTGGTAGGTTGGCATCTGTGCCTTCAAGGAGCTGCATTCTTGGGAGACAAGACACAGACTGCTTTGGGCAGCACTCTTGTGACTTATTCTCTTCACGGTCTGTTGAGTCCTTCTGGGTGACCCGGATGCTTAGCTATCACATCTCTATTCTCAACTTTCAATCTCATCACATGCCTCTTCATTTCCTCCCACTGATTCCCCAAAATAGACTTTCCTAAAATGTTCTTCTCCCTTCCCTATTGAGTGGACAATTTCTAAGGACTTAAAAATTTCCCCCTTGTTTTCCATAAAGACTCTTTTGTAAACTACCTCCTGACCCCATCTCTTAGCCCTCTCTCCCTTCCTCAGTGTTCCACACACACTGGTGTTTTGTTTGTTCCTCCGACACACGTCTTGCTCCCACTAAAGCACCTTTATACTCACTGTTCTCTCTGCCTAGAAGGCTTCATCTGCAGACCACTGCCTGTCTGGATCCTGTTCTCATTTAAGCCTTGGTTTAAATGTCACATGTTAGAGGTCTTCCCTCTATGACCACCTGAGAGTCCTTCCCATCACTTCACTTTTTCTTCATCATCCCTACCAGTTTACAAATGTTTGTCTCCTGCTTCTAAAACAAAGGTGCACCCAGCAAAGGGCCCATGTCCCATCTTGCTCTCCAGTCCAGCCCAGCACATAGACCTGCATATCGCACACCTCAGGTACACCATAAATTTGTGCTGACTATACTCTGAATCCTCGAACCCATAAATTCTCCTGGTTGACAGGTGTTTAGTTTGCAGGTTCATAAATCACTAGCAATTAGCATTATTAAGTTCCATACAAAAATAAAATTACAGATAGCCCACATTTAAACTCCACACTTTGATGGGTATTCATCATCTGGAGTCAAAGTAATGTCAGCCAGATTAGTTTCTAGTCACAAAGGAAGAAACAAGTGTACAAAGAAAAGCGTACAAGGGTAGGACCAGGCTGTCATCACACTGGGGATCCACTAATGCTCAGACCCCATGTCTTCCGAGGTAATGTGTTAGTCAAGAATATTTAACTTACACCTATGAACTCTTTCGGGATAACTTGCACTCTATCCCTTTATACTCTGCAAAAGAAAGGAACAAGGTAAATAATATGAAATACACAAATCCTGAAGACAGGACGTTCTTCAGGACTAGTGTGAGGTCTTTAGTAAAAGGGAGTTAAAGGGTGTAACCAGATGAAATGCATGTTCTGGAATGGATTCTGCTTTGTCCTCTAAAGGACATTTTTGGAACAGATGAAAAAGTATTGGCTAGATATTAGATAACAACGTATTGTCACGGAGAGGCAGAGATTGAGTCAAGTTACATGAGGGTGTCAGATTTCATCTTAGCACACACACACGCACGCACACACGCACAGACCTAAACACAATACCATTATACAGAGGTGTTAATGTAGCAACCTCCGGGTGTTGGGAGCATGGTGTGATCTGTCACTTTCTATCATATATGCATTCCACTTTCATGTTAACGGGTAATTTTGAATTAAAAAGAAAGTAACCTTGATTTAAAAATTATGCTAGACTTTTATGTTCAAATGGTAATTTTTGTTTCCTTTAAACTAGGTAACTTGGGCAGATTTCTACTGGGAAATTTGCAGTACCACACTTTTGGTCTTTAAACCAGACTTGCTGGACATCCATCCCAGGTTGGTAACATTACGGAAGAAAGTTCAAGCCATTCCTGCCATTTCTGACTGGATACAACGAAGGCCGCAAACCAAACTCTAGGTGATGCGAGCTACCTCTAAGCTTTATTGTTCTTCGCAGCGTGGCTTCCATCAGATGAGAAGCTACATCAGCCTGCCATGTAATCTACATTCTCCCCTCCCCAGCCCCACCAAGTCTCTCAATTTTGCCATATTCTGCTTAAAAAAAAAAAAAAAAAAAAAAAAGGAAAAGAGGGGGGTGAAGGGCATTTAGTTTCAAGCATCCTATTTTCCCCCTTTCCCTTAGAATAATTTCATATCATTTACAACTGAGGAAAAAGTTTACAGTACGGGCAGGGCTCACATTTCATGGGCTTTGACATGCATGGATTTCAGTCACAATTGTTAAGGAACATACACATTTTCCCCCAAAATGGTTTGGACTTAAGCTGTAATTGCATGAAGTGTTAACTTTGCTGCTAGCTTCGTGGTCCACAAATCACTGTGTAAATAATAGATGCCCATCATGACCAGTGACCAATCACATCACCTCTTTGAAAGTCTGTTAGGGATTGTTCACCACACATCTGTGACTCAGCAGCAGCACAGTGTGTAGCTGCCTTTCCCACTTGCTTCTCAGTGATAAACCCACTCAGAACTTTTTATAAAGTGGATCACTGAAAAAAGGAACTCATCAACAAAGAGGAAAGTACAATAAAGAAGTGAAAAGTGACCATGCTGGAGCCAAACTCAAACCACACAAAAATGGCAAGAGCGGACGGCTGCAGGTCAAGGGGCTCCAGAGATGTAGCTGGAAGAACTTGGCAAGCTTATTGACAGAAATGAGGAAAATGGCTGTGACAGAAGTGATGTTCCAGAGGAAGTGAGACTGCCAAAGAGTTTCACGTTAAGAGAACAGAGATCAAAAGAATGAGAAGCCAAGCCACAGAAAATATTTGCAAAGACGTATCTGATACAGGACTATACCCCAAATAGACAAAGAACTCTTAGAATCCAACAAAATGAACCCAGTTACAAAACAGACCAAGGATCTGAACAGACACCTCATTGAAGATATACACACGGTAAATAAGCATGTGAAAAGATGCTCAACATCGTGTCACCAGGGAAATGCAAATAAAAGTGAGTTACCATTACATACCTATAAAGAACAGCATAATTTCAAAACACTGACACCACCAAATGCTGGTAAGGATGTGAAACAAAATGAACTTTTATTCACTGCTGACAGGAATGGGAGATGATAAAGATGCCTTGGGAGAGTTTGGTAGTTTCTTATAAAACTAAACCCACCCTTACCATATGATCCAGCAATTATGCTCTTTAGTACTTACCCAAAGGAGGTGAGAACTTAAAGCCACACAAAAATCTGCACATGGATGTTTGTGGCAACTTTATTGATAACTGCCAAAACTTAGAAGTAAGCAAGATGCCCTTCCTTCTATAGTGAGTTGGTTAAGCAAACTGTGGTGTTCCAAATAAGGGAATATTATTTAGCACTTAAAAGAACTGAGCTATCAAGCCATGAAAAGACATAGAGGAAACGCAAGTGCAGATTACTAAATGAAAGAAGCCAATCTGAAAAGGCTACAAACTGTGATTTCAGCTACAGAACACTCTGGAAAAGGCAAAACTATGGAGACAGTAAGAAGACCAGCGGTTGTGAGGGGTAAATCGGGAAGGAGGGTCGAACAGGTTGAGTATAGATAATTTTTAGGCAGTAAAACTATTTTGCATACTGTAATAGATTTGTTAAACCCACAGAATGTACAAGACAAATAGCAAACCCTAATGCAAACTGTAGACTTTGGGTGATTATTACGTGTCAGTGCAGATTCACTGACTGTAACAAATGTACCACTCTGGAATGGAGTTGTTGATAGTGAGTGAGGGAGGGTGAACTTGTGTGGTGGCAGGGACATATGGGAATTCACTTTCTGCTCAATTTTGCTGTGAACCCAAAACAACTCTAAAAAATAAAGCCTATTAAAAAAGAAAAAAGCAGGGATACTTCATGACACTGGAAATGCAATAAAGTGCTGGAAGGTGATCCAAGCTTAGAATGATGATGATTTGCCAAGGTATAAAAAGAATGCTCACTTGCAATCATACATGAAGGTATTATTAAAACTATTCTTAATATGTTCTTTACCAAAGTAATACACATTATCAGTTTCTTTTACTAAAATTAGTTTTACTACTTTTTTCATTTACAATGAACAATGTTTTTAATGTGTTGAGAAAATAATTTAAATGTCATAGAACATCTTCTCCAATGACTAAGATTATTTTGCACAATTTCAACCTGCAGTCATTTTTATGGTCCCACACTACCATGGAAAGCAAGAAGTGCCCATATAAACAAACCATTTAAATAGAAATCTTCCAAGTAACTACAGATTATCCCTCAACCCGTTTTAAACCATAATTGTAGCACTGGAATATATTTTAGTTCAATTTGCATGTTAATATTAATATTGGATTGTCTAATCTTGGTAGGTCATGTTATATACAGAAACAGAAAAATGAAGTAGATGACATATACTAGAAATGCAGGACAGAGGAAGGAGAACATGGTTAAGAAGCCAGAAATGGGGAGAGGGGAGAGGGTATAGGGGAAGAAAGGAAAAAAAAAAAAAAAAAAAAAAGGAAAGCTGGACTAAGTATGATTTTGTTTAAGGTGCTTCTTTCATCTCACCGATGTTCTATGAAATAGGAGAAAAGATGTTAAATACTTTATACATCATTAAGGATTATACATAAAAACAAACTATAGGGACGCCAGTGGCTCAGTTGCTTCACCTGCTGCTTTCGGCTCAGTTCTTGATCCCAGCATCCTGGGATCGAGTCCCACGTTAGGCTCCTTGCTCAGCAGGGAGCCTGTTTCTCCCTCTGCCGCCACTCTGCCTGTCTGTGCTCACTCTCTCTCCCTCTCTGACAAATAAATAAATAAATAAATAAATAAAATCTTTAAAAAAACAAACTATAGTTTCCAAATGACTTGCTTCCTTGGATCACATTTTTTTATCGCTAGTGGAGTTAATAAATGATAATAGGTTATAAGTGAATCTCACTGCAAAATACTGTATCATGTTATCAAGGCAAGTTAAAGAAAAAATTATCTTTCACAAAAGAAATTCAAATAATACTTCAGGTAATGAAGGTAGTAACTTTTCTTTCCTCTTATGCATGTTCATTTTCTGCCATAAAATTATATTCTGACAAGTTTTAATGAAAATGGAATTCAGAGAAAGTGAGAACTACAATGCTTATCTAACATGAAAATTCACAACATCAGTCCTGGTTGTTTACACAAATCGTAATTCAAATATAAAATGCAATCACGGCAGGTTTCATAAGGAAGTATTTCATTTCAATCATAGCATCATCATCAACCTTTAGGCCATCTTTTTTCACTGAAGGGACAACACATTCCATTATCCCATCCTGTACCCAAAATAAATGGCTCCTTGCTGAGTGAGCAAGAGAGAACATGCATGAATCAGAGTTGCAGACTGTAATCAGAAAACACACAATCTGGGAAGAAAGAGTTAAAAGAATTGCTTAATTTTACGGACATTTAAGTGTCTTGCTTAGGGCCACACAAATGTAAACCAAATCTAATACTCCTATCTAACCTCTATACAATAACACCAACAGTTAGAAACAAGAGTAGTTAAAGTTGCAATATAAGTATCTATTGGTATAAAGCTACAAGTCTATGGGGTCAGGAATATAGTTATGAAACACATAAGGCAAATGTCTTCTATCTCCTTGTAAGTTATATTAAAAAATAAAAGTTGCTTCAGTTGGTCAAGATGATATTCCAACTATGGCTTCACATGCTCTTTACCACTGGTAATGGATTATGATGTTCACACGAACATGAGTCCAGTGAAAGGACTAATGGGAATATATCCTAAGTAATAAATTCCAGTTTATTGAGAAACAAACAATATTAAGCACAAACAATCTCATTTGAGCTCAATATTGTATTTAGGAGAGTTAGAAACTATTAAAAAGGGTGTGAAAATACAACTTATGATCACAAATATTTTTATTAAGCCCAAGACATAATAGAGCATTACAGGGAGAACACAACTACATCTCATTAAAGATAATATGGACTTAATAACAACAAAAGAACAGCCTATCCCCAAAGACACATTATTACAGAAAAGTTACGAGATTTTGAAAGGTAGTATATCCAACAATCCAAGAGATTTGGGTCCTGCAATGTAGGAGGAGGTAGTAATATTTGTAGATTTCTTCTAGCCCCATTATACTAAAATATATCCATTATATCCAATATACCTTCAAGATTGGGTAAATCTACTGAATCATGTTCAGAGTTTATAATATCTGAAGATTGCTTTGAGAGCTTCATTACTCTTCTAATTCCAGAGGATTATATGACCTTAGCATCTTAGCAAGTCAGGATGCCTTGAAAGTACAATTTCCAAAATTAACAAGTCTATGATTTATAAATAAGTTTATTTATAATGATATTTACATAATAAAAACAAAACACATGAAACTCACAAGTTATACAAAGAAACTGATGTATAATAAAAACAGCAAGATAGACTGACAGGCAAAAATTTAAAGAAAGATTTAATAAAGAGTTAAATATCAAATAGACACTTTACTTCTTCTAAATTTCACTTTGTCACCCACACTGAATTGAATTGAACAATGGCTCTCTCTTCAGGAGGTCCTGTACTGGAAATTCTGGAAACTGATAAATTATATTTTGAGAAGTGTTTAAAGTTAATGACCTATTTCCATGCAGTACCTAACGCTGCCTTAATACGAAGTCACATTCAGTCTGCTTTGACGTGAAATTGCCTGTTAACCTGTTCTGCCAGGCTAGACAAATGTTACCCACATTGTGCTGATACGTGGCAAGAATAAACTACTATTTAGAGAGTAAAGAGAACTGGAGCAGAAGTGACTGGGCAACAGTTTCAAGAGAAGCAAAAGCCAGGAGAGGGAAATCAATGAAAACATGCACAAGAATAGGCAGAGTAATAAGCACAATTAGTGCAGTGGGGAAATGAACAGAAGGAATTAATCCACGGAGCAAGATAAGGGCTTCTTCGTTACTATCACTGGAAAACAACTTAGTGCCTAGCCAAACAAATTTGTTTTAACAGAAGTACTTGGAAGGACCTGGGGGTGTTAGTAAATGGAATGCCACC